TTATGGAATGGCCTGCTGGATGAGATCTGTCTGCTTACATCTTTAGACTGCTTACATCTTTAGACAGCTCATCCAGCAGGCTTTTCCAGGATAGAAATCCCGGCCTCAGGAACCCCTTTTAGGAGAGCCCTCCAGGAACCTTCTCCTTAGCCCGCCTCCTCAGCAACATGTAACCGCCATTTTTCTTTAATGGCTATGTTGTTAATGTTTGTTTTAATCTGTATGGTTTAAATTCTTAGTTGATTTAATACTTTTTTAAGGGAGGGGGTATAGGGGTTTGATTGTACCCTATATTTTTAATATTTGTTAGCTGCCCCAATTGCACTCAGAGGGGCGGGGTATAAATACATTATTATTATTATTATTATTATTATTATTATTATTATTATTATTATTATTACTTACATTCCTGTTTCTCAAAAGTAACTTGTTGTTGTTTGACTTCAGGTTGTTTTCAATTTATGGTGACCTTAAGGTGAATCTATCATGGACTTTCCTATTGCTATCCTCTGAGACTGAGAGAGTGTGACTTACTCAAGTTAACAAAGTGGGTTTATATGGCAGAGCCAGGATATGAACCCTGGTCTCCAGAGTCCTTGTCCAATGTTAAACCACTACTCCACACTGGCTCTCACACCCTGCTGGCTTTCACAATTAAACATTTACATAATTAAAAATATAAACAATTCCCTGGTCTGGGGTTAAGAAGCAAACTTTATCATTGGCTTAGCAGATCACAAAGCAGAAACATGAAGTGATATTCCAAATCCATCTTTTAGTGATGCCATATACTGGAGTTAGAACAGAAACTAAAAAGTTACTGTTCTATTGCAAGAGAAGTGACATTATCCCTCATTACATCACAATGATAATGTAGTTCAGTATAATTATTGCAGAAAGAATTAATTATAATTATTTATAACTAGTTATTCCCACAATCTGATTTTTATCTGAAGTAGTCTACAAATAGTCTGGAAGGGATATATTTACTAATGCCATTCAATGTTGTACTTCAATTTAAATTCTATCCACTTAACAACACTCTTTAAAAAAACAAAACAAATTAAATATATTAAGAATTCATTCAACAATTAGGTCAATATAAAAATACCATAATATGAACATCTAAGTCAGAAAGCTTTTCTGGCCTTTGTTTTTATCAAGCCACTGAATATGTATCAAGCAGGCATGACTTAGCTATTGCACTAGCACATAAATGCAGGCACTTAGGGACAGATGACCTTTGAGGTTCTTTCCAATTCTGACATTCTGTGGTTTTGTTATTCTATCATTCGCTTGTGAAACAATATGATACTCCTTTGGGATAATCTTTCAGCATGAAATGTGCAATTCACATTACCTCACAGCCAGCTCTATCTTAAGAGGATGCTGATATAAGTGCTCAATTTTCTTAGTTATCTATATAAAGCAATTTCCCTCCCTTTTTTGTTTCCTTTTTATTTTAAATAACTAGGTTGCAAAAGTTTTGTTTGAGAAAAGTAGTTTGCTAGAAATCATCTAAGCTTCCTCATTATAGCTTGTGAATTGGTCAATTTGATCCAAATCTATCAATTGAGTGGACCCAGTCAAGCTGTAAATTCTTTAGAGAATGTTTAAGAACTGAAATTTGTGCGGGCAAGCTTCAGTTACGGAAGTGGAAAGGCAATACAGTCTAGGAAAACGGATTTTTCCCCCTCTCCTTCATGAGAAGACACTCTAACGGCTTAACACAGAATACTTTAAAAGCTGCCATTTGTGCCTGGGCCCTCTTGACATAGATAATAGTTCCTTTGCTGAGAGACAGTTACAATTTTGAATGAAACACCAGGGAGAGAGAGCCAGGGTACTTCAGAAACAGCAAATCTCTATAGCTTTGGATGAGATAATGTAACAAACATTCATGCTTTGCACAGAGTAAAAAACACCCAGTGTAGGCCAACTATTAATTTACATTTATAGTTCACCTAAAGTAAACTAATTGCTTCTTTTTTTAAAAAAAATTAGTTAAAGTCTGCTATAACCCTTCATCATCACCAAGGATTGTTTGGTCAATTCATAAATCCTCTTTAAAATGGTGTCAAGGGTTAATTTTTATCTGCTTCAATCAACACCTGCCCATCTCTTTCAAAGCCCAGTGTCCCTCAATAACAGTCCAATTTTCTTGTGTTCATATTTGCTGCAAATTTATTTACAGTGAGAACATGTATAAAAGTACATTGGATTATGGATCTCAAATCTTGACACTTTCACTTTTCACAATGTTCTTTGCAGATATTGCCAAGATGGTCCATTACCTTTTGCTGTTTTGTGCTTTCAATTCAGTTCTGATATATGACAACCCTATGGGCTTCACAGGGTTTTCTTGGCAAGATCAGTTCAGAAGGAGTTTGCCTTTGCCTTCCTCTGAAGCTGAGAGATTGTGATTTGCCCAAGGCCATCCAGTGGGTTTTCATGGCTGAGTGCAGATTTGAACTCTGGTCTCTCAGGCTGACCCACACTACAGAAATAATCCAGGTTGACAGCACTTTAACTGCCATGGCTCAATGCTATAGAATTCTGGGAATTGTAGTTTTGTGAGACATTTAGACTTCTCTGTCAGAGAGCTCTGATGCCCCACCAGACTACAGTTCCAAGAATTCCATAGCATTGAGCCATAGCATTTAAAGTGGTGTCAACCTGCATTATTTCTGCAGTACAGATGCAGCCTCAGAGTCATAGTCCAATGTTCAAACTACTACACCACATTGGCACTCCTCCTAAATATGAACCTTAGTTGGAGTTTATGTAAGATCAGGGAACAAACAATGATTGATTATGGAAACTGAGGTGTTGTTTCCTTCTGGATGGATTGCTCCTAATGCTCTTAACCAACGACTGCATGCAGATAGTAGCTAAGATCATGCCTATTGGTAACATATGCCCACATGGAGTTAAATGTCCTTTTTTTAATGTTATGGATGCAATCAGTGGGAATGAAGGACTTGAATCACATCAAACTGAAGGGGAGGGATTACTATGGCAGAGGGTTGGCACATCCCTCATCAGTTTTTGGGGAACCTTCTGTCCAGGAATTCCAAAATGGCCTCCATTCTGAGCTTGACTAGGAAGCATGTTCTCCAGATCTGCAAAGCTGGGAAGGCACCACCATAAGACACCCCAGGTCCTCCAATTCCTGCAAGGCTGGGAGGACAGCACCACACCCAGGGCAGAGTCCTCTATATGACACCCATGGCTGAGGCATCCCAGGGAGAGTCCTCCATATGGTACCCATGGCTGAGCATCCCAGGGAGAGTCCTCTATATGACACCCATGGCTGAGGCATCCCAGGGAGAGTCCTCTATATGGCACCCATGACTGAGGCCTCCCAGGGAGAATCATCCATATGATACCCATGGCTGAGGCATGCCAAGGGACTTGGAGGACATGGGGAGTTGGTGTCCTCTCAGCCTTGCAGAACTTGCTTCCTAGTCAAACTCCGTATAGAAGGTGTTTTGGATTTCCTCCTGGACAGAAGTTTGGAATGTAGGATGGGTCCTGGGAAAGGAGAGGGGGGAGAATGATGGATTTTCCCAAAAACTAGTGAGGGGTGGAATTCTGGCCATATCATCCATGACTCCTTCCTGTGTTTTCTTGAATATGTTGCTGGTTGTATCACCGATGATGCATAGATGATTGACAGACATTTTGAAGGGGCACAAACTAGTGTGAATGACAGTCATGCCAACAAAGAAGTGAATAAAGAAAAGACCCACTTCCGTAGTGGGAATGACACATGGACTGGAATCAATTCACCAACTTGGAGCGAAAGCGAATTGCAAACTGGGTTAAATGTAAGTGGGAAAGAGCCCAATGTTTTCCATCACTTGAAAGTTGCCTAGAGGGTAGGATGAGCCACTGCATGGACAGATTTTTATGCTTTACTCACACAATAGAAGACCTTACCCATTTTATCTTTTTTTCCAACAGATATTTTATGCAAGGGGTGAAGGGAGAAGATATAGTGGGAGAATAGTTGAAGATATAGTGGGAGAATGATTTTTTTTTAAAATAAATATTGTTGTAGTTGAAGGTGTTGCTATTGGGCACCTTCATGTTAATTCCCACTTATTACAGCCCAAATGTGACCCTATCATAGGGTTTTCTTGGCAACATTTGTTGTTTGCCATTGTCTGAGGCTGAGAGAGGATGCCCAAGATTACCCTGTGGATTTCTGTGGTTGAGCAGAGATTCGAACCCTGATCTCTCAGACTTTGTCCAGCCCTTCAAAACACTACACCATTCTGGTTTCCATTATATGCCTTATATACAATATTTATATTTTCCTTGAAACAGATGTGAGCTTGGATTATACAGAGAAGACTTGGAAAAATAGGTATCATTTAGAAGAAAGCTGATAGACATTCAGCTGAGCTTATTCAGTAGGTTAACACAGTCAATTTTTAGGAGCTTTGGAAATAATTTGAAGGGTGTGCTGGCCACTTCCATTCCAGGCTAAATTTGCAGTGGGAATATGCCACTTTCTCTTAGAATATCTTGAGGCTCTGCTTCATTGATTTTTTTTCACCAGGAAGCCAACTTGACACTTTCCACTTAACAGAGGGGGTGACACCTTTCTGAATGGGATGCTGCTGGTAAAAGCAGGAGCAACAGTATATATAATTTAAGTTTCATTTGTAGACCTTAAGTCAGAGCCTTTCCTTTCATGTGTAATCATTGGCTCTTCTGAAGAGTCCAGAATACAAACAAAACAAACCAATCCAGATTTTAACATTTTTTGCTCTACTGTACTGAAGGGGAAGAGAACCAGTGTGGTGTAGGGGTTTGAGTGTTGGACTATGATGCTGGAGGACAGGGTTCAAATCCCTGCTCAGCCATGGAAACCTGCTGGGTGATTTTGGGCAAGTTACACTCTCTCAGCCTCCAAGGAAGGCACAGGCAAAGGCAAAGCCACTCTGAACAAATCTTGCCAAGAAAACCCTATCATAGCTTCCTCTTGGGATGACCTTATATATGTTGGAAATTTATTGAAGACACACAACAAGTCCTCTGGCGTGTGTCTAGAGGAGGCAACCAAAATGGCAAAAGGGCTGGAAACCATGTCCTTTGTCTATATCAAGGCAAATAATAGTGCCACTCTATTCTACTTTGGTCAGACTTCACCTGGAACACTATTTCCAGTTTGGGGTATCACAATTCAAGAAGGATATTGAAAGTTGGAATGTGTTGAGAGAAGGGTGAGCAAAATGTTAAAAGGTCTGAAAACCATACCCTATGACAGGGGCTGGCAACCTATGGCCCCCGGGCCGGTTCCAGCCCAGGTCGCTGGACTTACCAGCCCAGGCAGACCCCTGACACCGCCATGTGCCGCCGCTGTGTGTTTTTCCATCCGTGTGGCCGTGACGCGTTTGTGCATGCGCAGAAGTACTGCACATGCACAAATGAGTTGTGGCTGCCATTTTAAAAATCAAAATGGCGGCTGCGCATGCTGCAGCGGTGGCGGCAGTAGCGGCAGCGCACGCATGGGTGGGTGTGTGCAGCAGCAGAGGGTGCACACGCGCACGTGAGCGCATGCGCTGCCATTCCCCCCCCCAGGCCCAGCGGAGACCTGGACTTCAGGGGACCGGCCCAGTCTCCAAAAGGTTGCCTACCCCTGCCCTATAACTTAGGATATGTTTAGCCTAGAGAAAAGGCATTTAACAGAGGACATGACAGCCATTTCTAAATATTTGAAGGGATGTCATCCAGAGGATGGAGCAAGCTTGTTTTCTGCTGCTGCAGAGTCTAGGACATGGAACAATGGATTCAAGCTACAGGAAAAGAGATTCCACCTCAACATTAGGAAGAACTTCCTGATAGTAAGAGCTGACAGTGGAATATGCTGCCTTGGAGTGTGGTGGAACCTCCTTCTTTGAAGGTTTTTAAACAGAAGCTGGATGGCCATCTGTTGAGAATGCTTTATGTATTCCTGCATGGTTGGAATGGTCTCTTCCAACTCTATGATTCTAACAACAGAAGAAGGAAGAATGGTGTGGACTTCATCTAGACATAGATGGAAACAACTGTGCTCTGTACTGAGATATGATCTCACAGCATGCCCAGTCTCCCTGCCTACCAGGAATCCTCTTCTCTGCTGGGGGTGTGGTTGTCCTCTGTTAAATGCCTTTTCTCCAGGCTAAACATACCCTAAGTCATAGGGCATGGTTTTCAGACCTTTTAACATTTTGCTTACCTTTCTCTCAACACATTCCAACTTTCAATATCCTTCTTGAATTGTGATACCCCAAACTGGAAATAGTGTTCCAGGTGACAATATCCCTAATCTAGTGTTCAAGTGACTATGTGGCTGCTGGAAGTCCTAGTTTCCCTCCCAGACTTCCTGATGGCTTGGCTAGTTGTGTGTGTGTGTGTGTGTGTGTGTGTGTGTGTGTGTGTGTGTGTGTGAGTCAGAGCTCCTTGAACCTAGAAGGGAGGAACTGCCAGAATATTCATCATTCCTTATTTGGACTTCCCTGACCACCTTTCCTTATGTTAGTGTTTATGACATTTGTATTACTTGTGGTTTGCCATGGTATCTGTTAGCTGACAGTTGATAGGACCAGAGAGTAGGGGTGAAAACAAAATTGCCAGATTAAAAGAAGGGGGGTCTCCCAGCAGTTGGTAAACCCTGTCAAGGAGAATAATGATCCAGTGAGTATTTGAGCAATTTTCTCCTGGTATTCAATGTTCTAAAGTGTTATGGAGGATTTATTTAATGGAAAAATAATATGCATTTTTTTCTAAATCAACAAAAATGTTTTCTGAATAGAAAATGGGTTTCCTGCATAAAAAATAATTGGGAAAATTAATTTTTGGACTACAAGTCCCAGAATCCTTCCGCTGATGTGGCTGGTAGCCATGCTTGTCTGAAGATTCTGGGAAATGTAGTCCACAATAACTTTTAAACAAAGCTCTGCTGAGTTTTTTTTGTAAAGCTCTTACAAAAGGTTAGACATGGGCAATGCTTTCTGTGATTTAACTCATGTCTAACCTTCCCTTAATTTTTGAAACTTGAATATGACAATGAAAAGCCCATGAATACAGGAACTTTCTGGCTTCTGGTGCCCTTTCATTTGGTATTGTTGTGTGCCTTCAAGTTGTTTCCAACATATGGCAAATCTATCATGGGGTTTTCATGGCAAAATTTGTTCAAAGGAGGTTTGCCATTGCCTTTCCCTGTGGCTGAGGGCATTTAACTTGCACAAGGTGCCCAGTGGGTTTCATGGCCAAGCTGGGAATAGAACCCTCGTCTCCAGAGTTGCAGTCCAACACTTAAACAACTACACCATACTGGCCCTTTCAAGCTACAAACTTATAATGCTATATTATACCTTAACTATGGACCCTGCCATGAAATCCTTGGATTCCCAGTTATAGGAGGAACATTTAGAATTCACAGCAAAACAAACTGCTAATCCCCAAATTCCATAGACTATTGCCTTGTCGGCTAATAGTACTATAATTGTGAAGTGTGAAAGGGCCTCCAAAGTAGCTCTTCATTTTCTTTTAGTCATGCTGCAAACATGCCACAACCACCATAAAATTAGATAGCAGAATATCTTCTATTGCATCTTTTAGATGCTTTATTCTTCCATTTTGCTAATTATATATATAAATTAATGAGTTTGACTTTATGTCAGCAAATTATTATGGGAGGCACCACATAAATTATTTTAACAGTTTTAAACTGAATGCAAATTGATTCAGATGTGGTGAAAGTCAGTTGCCATGGAAAGGGAGGCACTGCAATGAATGACCACACTACACCCAATTGGCCACAACTTTATTGACTACAGCTGACAAGGTAGGGTTGGCCTGAAATGCATGAGGTCTGGATCTGGCATCAACCATCCCTAAGTTGATCGATGAACCAACTTGCCTGGTCACAGTCAGGCTTTGGGATGACAAAGAGATAACTGGCTAATCCCATGTTTGCATCTTAGGTAATTCAGTCGATCACATGTCCGCATCTCTACCCCTTGTCACTAGGGGATGCTGATCTGGCATTGCCTCTGCAATGGCAACACCGCAACACTCTCGGCACCCTCCAGTCCCTGATGGATTGGGAAATCCAGTGCTCCACAGCATGGGTAACCATGTCCATCAGATCCAAGACCCATGCTACCACTCTATGAAAGTTGTGACAGCACATGGGAATTCCTAAATATAGGGTGGGAGGGTGGGGAGAGCTAAACTGGAATGGCACTGAGCACCTGTGTTACATGGTCTTAAATAGGCCAATATACCAATCACATTGTTGGAGACTCAGAAGTCCCCGCCCCCTCCGGCCTCTCCCACCAATCCAGCTTCCTTGCTATCCTGGCACTGGCCAATAGGGAGACACTTCCACCATCACCCCATTGCATGTCAGTAGTTGAAGTCCCAGTGTGAGGCCAGAAGTACCACCCTTCCTGGCCCAGCAAAACAATAAGGGCTTTTCCAGCCTGCCCCAGTCCCTAATGGGGTGACACTGGACCTGGAGAGTCAGTGTGGCAATGCAGCCCCCCCCCCCCCCCCATGGCAACCAGTTGGGCCTGATGAGTTGTGCGGCCTCATTTCTCAGATTGCAGGATTTGAGTATTGTTTTGCATAGCCCACTAGGAAAACCACCTTCCATGGGAGACTTTGAAGTCTCACAAACTGATTTTTCAAGCTCTCACATAATATGACTTGTGCTTGTGAATTCAGATTAGTTATCTACATTTGTTTCTGTTTTGCATAGTACTTTTTTTAAAAAACAATCCCATCAGTTGAACATGTATGTGTAGGAAATGTTTCAAGGCCCTTGCAAAAAAAGCACTTAAACAAACATTCTAAATATGTCACAGTTCTTTGGAGGTTTACACAGTTTTACAGTATTTTCTTAAATATAATGTAGGGAAACAATATGCAGGCCTGTTAGAGTCAGTTTTGATAAATGTGGGCTTAAATAGACACTGTCTAAGTAAATCAGTTTCCCTGTTCTGGAAAATAATTTATCTCAGGCCTTCTGTGTAATGATCTTTGGTCCATAAATATAAACCATAAAATGAGGACTCGTATAAAATAAGTTAAATGTGCAGAATGAATCAATAGTACTTTATTGTCAAGTCATCTTCTGCTCTTATGGACTTGTCTTTTTTTAGGGCAAAAATACCATTCAAAGAAGTGGAATTAACTAGTGTCTGATACAATGGACTGTATCTAAATTACAAACTGCAACAACATGAGCAATATATGATCTAACCCCAAGGAGCAAGAATATACTCCTTAGATCAAGGGAAATAAAAGTGCATTTTATTCTTCTTTGGTTAGCCCTCACCTGAAACACTATGTCCAGTTCTGGGTGCCACAATTCAAGAAGTATACTGAAAGCTGGAAAGAGGAGGATGATCACATGGTAAAAGTTCTGAAAACCATGCATATAAAAAGCAGCTTAGGGGACTGGTTAAATTTAGCCTGGAGAAGAGAAGGTTAAGAGATGACATGATTTGTTGTTTGTTGTTAACTGCCCTGGAGTCAACCCTGACTCATGGCGACCTGTGGATGAGACATCTTTAAGATCCTCTATTCTCCACTGCTCTGCTTAAGTCCCACAAATTCAGGCCCATGACCTCCCTGATTGAGGGGGGTTGCAGACTGCCAGAAATAGTGCAAATTGAGTCCACTTTTAGGGTTAGGGTTAGGGAATCATGGGAACTGTATTTTATTGTGGCACCAGAGCTCTCTGACAGAGAAGGCTCAATGTCTCAGAAAAAAACCCAGTTCCCATGATTCCCTAGCACTAACCCTAACCCTAAAAGTGGACTCAATTTGCACTATTTCTGGCAGTCTGCAACCCCCCTGAGTCTATCCATCT